AAATAAACATAAAATAATGAGAGATAAATATTAATTGTGTGAGTACCATTACTCGTCGTGGCATGCCACGGAGTAGTGTAGTTAGTTACCATTAAACAACAATCAACTCTCACTTCAATTGATGTCTGCTGTTGCTTTCACTGCTGCTCAGTCGATGAATTGTTTGTTTGGCTGGTTGGCTGATTTGGGAGAGAAGAAAGAGTGTCGTACAAAACTCTACCGGTTTTACATTTATTTATGTAATTGCAGTTTTGAAAGTGTATATATTTGTTTCTCCTCCTCCCACCTCCCCCAATTACAAAGCAAACAAAAGTTGTTGAACCAAAAACGAGAGGAGGTGTAATAATTTGTGGTTAGTGTTTTTTTGTTAGGAGAACATCTGAAAGATATCCTCGTCACTAGATCATATGGCAATGAAATCTTTAAATAAATTCCAATAAAAAAGAAGAACGTGTAGATTTTTTGGGACCCATTTGCTAACCTATTTTTTTTTACATATATTCCTATATTCCTATATAATTGAAACCCGATCTAAGCAAAATTATCCTTTTGAATACCTGAACCAGATTTCCATAGAAATTGAATGAAATAATAAAAACAATATTGTAGATGCAGATAATATTCTTCGAGCTAGACCAGGCCAATGATTTGCAAGATATAATATCCTCGGCACTAGAACATATGAGAATGAAATCTTCGAATAATTTCCAATTTTAAAGAAGAACGTGTAGATTTTTGAGACCCATTTGCCTTATATATCGAAGTAAATATAACCTTTTGAACTCCTGAGCCAGATTTTCATAGAGAAAAATAATTGAATGACATAAAAAAAATATTTGCAGATGCAGCTAACATTCTACCTAGACCAGATCCGGCCAATGACATGTAAGATATGATATCCTCGTCACTAGAACATATGGGAAATTTCTACACTAAAAATTGAATTAAATTAAAATATCGCTAATAAAAAATATTTCTCCTTAAAATTTTTAAATTTCTTCTATACTTATATCGAGAATCTTGCTTTCTATTGGAGTTTTACACTACCATTAAAGATTTCTGATTCTAAAATACCCAGATATTGCCCTTAAAGAAGAAGTCGTTGGCCTCGGAAAGAGAGGATTCTTTCAAAAAATCAAGAGGCTTTTTTCTTAGAAAAATATTTCTTCTAATAAAGTTTTATGGTTCTCTCGAACATTTATTCAATTAAAAACTTCTGCTATTATTGGAGATTCCGACTTCTTTGGAAGATTCCTCATTCTATTAATGATTCATGCTGTAGAATAGACTACCGTCCTTAAAAAATATTTCTTCTATTGAACTTTTCTAGTTACATTGAAGATGTCTTCTTGGAGAAAAAACTAATTAAAAATATCATGGATCCTTATGCCTCCAGCTAGATGAAATCGTATCCATATCGAGCCAAATGATTTGAAGATATCCTCGCCACCAGAACATTTGGGAAATGTGTACATTAAAATATTACAAAGCTAATAACAAATTTTATATTGACAGGAGATCTGCAGAAGTTTGCAGCTAAAAATTTTCTTGAACTGCAGGACTAACGAAGAGCAGGGATAGTATGCTAGGATAATATTCCAAAGGTTTTAAAGATATCCTCGTCACTAGAACATATGGGAAATTCAAATAAATTGATGATATAGGCAGGTGTCTTCTTATATATACGCAGAATTCTGCTTCCATAGAACTATATGAAATCCTCCATGGAATTTTTTTTTCTCTTTCTCCTTTAGTTCCCAGTTTCAATTCAGTTCCTTTTTCCCAACTTTTTTAAACTATCCCGCATCGAGCCCTTTATTCATTTACTCTAACAAACATTTGGATTTTTTTTGTTGTTTTGAGAAATTCATGTTTTGATAAACAACTAAGAAAGAGGCGCCAAACGCCGAACAATGCAACGAACCGCCCCGCTACCACATTCCCAATTCTCATTAGTATTGAGGACCCAATGCGACGCACAGCTAACAAATAACCTCACTCGTACACACTCGATTCAACTGAAACTCGTTAAAATTTCACGAGGAGAAACTTTGTGTGGTTTTTACACACTTCCGCTCAGAGTTTATTAACCCCTAACAGAAAGAAAAAATAAAATAAACTACGTGTGGAATGACTGAAAGAGTGACGAGGTTTTCAATTTGGATTGCGGACTGTGGACTCTTCTTTGACTCTTTTTTTGTGAGTGCCCGGCGAGGAGGAGGGGGTTTTCATTACCTCTTCTCAACATATCCTCTTCTTCTTTTTTACTTCAGAGCTTGTTTTCTCTAGTTCGATGTGTATGCTACTCTTGGTGGTGGTCATTGCCTTTATTGTTTTGTTGCGGATGGTTGCTGGGAGTTTTACTTCTCGCCTTCTTCTCTCCCATTAAAACAAAATTCCGATTCTATCGGCAGGTTTTCTAGATGAAATAAAACAAGCCAAACAGAGTCTCCCTTTTCTTTAAGAACTCTTTCTCTACTCCCATATACATATCTCCCTCTCTCTCCCCATTCACCTTTTTTTATCCTCTAAATCTCATCTTTCTCCTTTTGAAATATTGTTAGGTTGGTTGATTTAAATTCTCATTCCGATTTTTTTTTGTAAAACCCCCCAGAAAAGTCAGAGCATTATTCTCTAAATCTCCCCTCCGAAAACACACAAAAAATAATTATCTCAGATTTATAGTATGGAGTAGTTGGCGGCGGCTGAGTACCCAAAACAACAAATTCTTGTGAGCAAGCATCTGATGATGATGAGAGGCGGCCAGGGGGATTAATTTCTCTGCAGGTGTTGTTATATTGCATTTATGGGCCTCCTCCTATATGCTGCTCTATGTGTGTGGAGTATATTGACTACTGGTTACATTTGACTAAGGTCTCTGAGCTGTTGCTGCGGGCTGTATGTGTGCGCGTTTTTGTGGACCTGATCTCTTTTTTGTTGTGTGACCCATTGCTCTCGTTTGTGTTTATTTCTTTCTGTATTATTTTTAATTGCTATTGGGAATAACAGCTATTTTTGTAAATCATTGTCAACCAAGAAAAAATCTACTCACATACAGCTGAGATATATCTGACTCTTTGCTCGCACCCCAAAAAAACTAGACACAGACAAAAGAGTTACTCTGTAACAATAATCTGACTCTGAGTAGCGCTAAGTAGACAAAAAATAAAAAATAAAAACAATTATACAAAATATGGGACAAAAATGCCGGTACCCATATGACACGAATGATAACATCGGCCGCAGCATATCTCTCGGTGGGAGTATGAGCGTTTGTGTTTGGGTACTTTGATTTGTTTACAATCGGTTTTTGGCGGGAAAACAATGTTCTCATTCATAAAAAGACCTTCACGGAAGATATATGTATTTTTTTATGTATTGAAACTGAAACTCCACTGGACCTGCAAGATATTCTTGTTACTAGAACATATGGGAAAGCTGAAATTAAATTTGGATCGAAATACTCACGTGATCCTATGATAGCTAATTAGAAAGGTATCCTCATAACTAGAACATATGGGCAACACGAAAATAAATTTAAAGATACGTAGAAAAGTTGATCGAAAGAGGCTCCCTTGAGCTTCAAAGGCCAGTAGATTTTTATGTCTTAAAATAAGTTGAATTACATATTATTATTTTTAGATTATATCAGAACAGAACAATCAGAACATCGACTTGCAAGATATCCTTGTCTCTAGAACATATGGGAAATATATTCGACTTAAAAAAAAAAAAAAAAAAAACGCGTGGACCTTCTGGTCTTATTTTATTTTCTTATTGAGAAAACACAAAACAGAACTAAGAAAAATATCGCAGAAAAACCTGTATGATAATCCACGTCACTAGAGCTTAAACGGAAAATATCTTCTTGAACCTCCCAGCTATACTTCAATAGAGGAAAATAATTTAAATTAATGAAAAATATCGTATATCAAGGACCAAGAACTTGCAAAGATATCCTCGTCACTAGAACATATGGGAAAAATTCAAATAAATTTAATTATTTTAGGAAAAGATGGATAATTTAAAAAAAAACCTATGGTCCATAGATGGGCCTCGCACCAAATTTTCTATAGAAAATCTATGGTCCATAGATGGGCCACACAAAAATTTTTTACAGAAAATCTAGAAAAGCTATGGCCCACAGATGGCCTCGCACAAAATTTTCAATAGAAATCGATAGGCCATAGATGGGATATCCTTGCCACTAGACTATATGGGAAAATTAATAGTTCATCAAAATAAAAATCTCCTCGGGATAATCGCACAAATAGAAGTAAATCTTTCTTCTATCTAAAAGAAGTCTTTAGAAGAAAAATTCCTATTTTTTCTCAAGAACCCGTCTTCTCAAGAGATTTCCCGATTCTTATCAGATAGAAGACCTCTTCTTCCAGGTTAGAAGAACACCTCTTCTTCTACGTAGAGTAGAGGAAGACTTTTTCTTCCAGAGTAGAAGGAAACCTATTCATCCAAAGAAAATGACACATTTTTCTAGAAAAGTCATTATCTTCTAGAGAAGAGCATGACCTCTTCTTCTAGAGAAGAGGAAGAAGATCTCTTCTTCTAGGGAAAAGGAAGAAGATCTCTTCTTCTAGAGAAGAGGAAGAAGATCTCTTCTTCTAGAGAAGAGGAAGAAGATCTCTTCTTCTAGAAAAGAAGATATCTTCTTCTAGAAAAGAGGAAGAAGACCTCTTCTTCTAGAGAAGGAGACGATCTCATTTTCTTCCTCTTTTTTTAGAGGGATATTTTATTCTTTCAATTGAGAAGGACTCGTCTTCTAGGGATGAATACCTCTTTTTGTAGAAAAAAATGGGTCCTACAGTAGTCGCGGATTTTTTTTTAATTATTTTTGGAGTTGTACAATTGGTGTGGATTTAAAAAAAAAACATTTATGAAATTCTACAATAGGCGTGGATTTTTTAAAAACTATTATTTAAAATCTTTTAATTTTCAATTCAAAAAAATTTAATTCTTTCTTATTTTTATTTCTTTTCTTGCAGAACACCCCCTGCAAACATCCCGTTGTTATGTTGGCCGGTGTCAACGCCAATGATTTGGAGGCATTGTTGGAATTTGTCTATCGTGGTGAGGTTAGTGTCGATCATGCCCAATTACCATCACTGTTGCAGGCAGCACAATGTTTAAATATACAAGGACTGGCGCCACAAACCGTGACCAAAGATGACTATACGCATTCGATACAGTTGCAGCATATGATACCCCAACATCACCATGTAAGTTTTGGAACACAAAACATGATTATTCAAGGGAAAACAAGTGAAATTTGTAATTTCTTTTTTTAGGAACAAGAACAATTGATTGCCACCATTGCCACGGCTCCCCAACAAACGGTACACGCTCAAGTTGTTGACGACATTCATCAGGCTGGACAAATTCTGCAGACGACGACACAAACCCAACAAGGCGGACAACAGCAAACGATTGTGACCACAGATGCGACCAAGGATGTTATACAACAATATTTGCCGGCACGCAAACGTAAACCCAGAACTAAGAAAATGTCACGTAAGTCTGAACTCGCCGAACCTCTCATCTAGTGAACCTCTTTTTTTAATTTCTAATTTTTTCCAATTTTAGCCACGGCCCCGAAAATTACCAAAGTTGAAGGTATGGACACGATCATCAGTACACCCACGACATCGCATACCACAACCACGGTCCAGACAACACAGCAACAACAACAACAGCAGCAGCAACAACAGGTCCAACAGCAACAACAACAGCAGCAGCAACAAATCGAAAATGGCAACGATGGCTCAATGATCACCTCAACACCGATTATCAAGAGTGAAGTTACCAAGGTTGAGACAATTGTTATGGATCCGAACACAAGTGAAATAAGTATTTCAACACCTGGCAAAACTGGCAAACGAACCAAGAATTTGAGTGGCGAGAGTAAGTGAAGCGGAATTTTTTTTAGTAGCTTTAAAAGTGGAAAAAAATTAAAAAAACAAATGTTAGATAAATTATCTGCCATGTTTGGATAGTGTAGATACTCTTAGATAATGTAGATAAATTATCTATGATGGTTAGATAACGTACAGATTTCATGTATGTCGTTTAGATAACGAAATTATTTTATCTAGGTCGGTTAGATAACGCCGATTTGTAATTTAGATAAAGTAGAGGGTTATCTATACCACTTAGATGACATTTAATGGTTATCTGCATTGTTTAGATAACATTTAAATGTCATCTTAGTTCAATAGATGTAATTTTTGTAACTCAGATAATTAACAAAGGTTATCTTTGGTGTCTAGATAACGTTTAAAGATAATCTGTGTGATATAGATAATTTTTAAAGGTTATCTAAGTTGATTAGATAATGTATATTAGTGATTTTCATTCTCCATATATTATCTATGTTACTTAGATAAACGGGAGAGGTTATCTATGCCATTTATATAACGTTTACAGATTATCTATGTTACATAGATAAATTCTAAAAATTATTTACATGCATTAGATAACATAAATCAATCATCTTAGTACCTTATATGTCATCTTCGTTACTTAGATAATTAACAAAGGTTATCTCTTTGATGTCGATATAACGTTTAAAGATAATCTGTGTGACATAGATAATTTCTCAAGGTTATCTAAGTTTATCAGATAATGTCTATATGTTATTTTCATTCTTTAGATATTATCTATGTTAGTTAGATAAATAGCAGAGGTTATCTTTGCAGGTTAGATAACGTTTGAAGATTATGTAGGCTATTTAGATAACGTGTAGCTACCATGTTTAGATAACGTAGATATATTATCTTTGTTGTTTAGATAAACTAATTACGTTATTTAGACCATAAATAGGTTATCTACACCATTTAGATAACAATAATAGGTTATCTACATAATGTAGATACCACCAATTGGTTATGTCATCATTTAGATAACACTAATTGGTTTAGATAACGTAAATACTATATTTACGACACATAGATAAAACAAATTGGTTATCTATACTATTTACCTGGGCTATTTGGAACTTTTAGATGAATTATCTAACACTTAGATAACATTTTAGATAATTTATTTTAGATTTAGATAACACTAAATGGTTATCTACATCATTTCGATAACGTAAATACTATATTTACGACGTTTAGATAAAATTTGGTTATCTATGAATTATCTAACACTCAGATAACATTTTAGATAATTTATTTCTTTACTGAAATTCATTTTTTCTAATCCAAATTTGTTTCTAATCTTCCCATTTGCAGAACCCCGTTCCCGATCACAATCCGAACAACCGGCCACCTGTCCCATCTGTTATGCCGTCATACGTCAATCGCGTAATCTACGTCGTCACTTGGAACTCAGACATTTTGCCAAACCCGGTGTGAAAAAGGAAAAGAAAAGTAAGTTATCAGGTGGTGGTAGTGGCACCGGTGCCGATCTCGATACAACCGACGGGGATGATGGCGGCAACAATTCATCGACAATGTTAGGTTCAACGACAATGACCACCGGTGATGGTGCCAGTGTTATGCTAGATAATACGACGACAACAACAACGATGGGCGGCAACAATACGAACGGTGTTAATGCCTTGGTCACCGCTGTGAGTAATGCCATGCCCATGAATACAACATCAACGGCGGTAACTAGTGGCGGTACTCCGATTATTGTGGGCAATACAATAACCCAACTGCCCGTACTTAAACAAGAGCCAGGTGCTGGTAATAATGGTGGGGCAACAACAATTACCACAACCGCTGGTGGTTGTATTGTGGGTACGGCAACAGCTCAACAGGTGGCCAATGCGAATCATCATCAGGGTCAAATGCAAAATGTCATACATATAGTAAGCGAGGAAGTTTATCAGCAGCAGCAACAACAGCAACAGCAGCAACAACAACAACAGCAGCAGCAACAACATCAACAGCAATAATCATAATTATCACACCCACACACACACACAACCTCACTCCCGCATCCATCCACACTTCCCTCAATTTTAATTTGTTGGCCTAACTCAAAACTAAACTACTCCCCCGCTCAGCATTTATCATGATCATGCATTCCTTGATAACATCATTTGTTTTGATTCTCACTCTCTTGTTCTTCTTCATCTATTTATCTAACATCTTATCTTCCATTGCATTTTTTCTTTTCAAAGTGCAATTTGTTTGCTTTTTCTTTTTCTATTCTTTTAACAATGCCAACTCTAGTAGAGAGGCAACAAAAACAATTCTTTTTTTAATTTTTCTTTTTAAAATTTATTATTATTATTTTTTATATTATTTTTGTATATACGTATATAAAATTATTTTATAGAAAAAAAGTAATTTAAAATTTATCTAATTTTATTTTGTAATATTATTGCATAAAACAAATAGGTTATTTTAAATTTGAAAACAATACAAAGTTGTAGAACAAATGGGGTTTCGAATTCAGAATCCTTCTTTGAAAAAATTATCTTTTCTATAGTAGAAAAATTCTCTATAAAGAAGTACTACCTTGTGGTAACATTTTTTTTATAGTTTTTTTTTTTCTACTTTACAAAAGATGGATGCTAGTTTTGAGCAATTTCCGTTACTTAGGACAAGTTTTGAGATTTGATATATTCCCAGACCCCTAGTAGAATTTTATTAGGAACAATTTTGTAGAACACATTGACCTCCAAAAACCTCGTTTTCAAGGTGTTAGGACCAATTTTGAAAAAGCCTTTCAAAAACATATTTTCTGTTCCATTACATATTTACTTTCCTCCATTTTCTGGTACTCAAGTTCGGATTTGAGTTTTAATATATTCCCAGACCCCTAGTAGAATTTTATGAGGAACCATTTTGCAGAACACACTGACCTCGGATAACCCCGTTTTCAAGGTGCTAGGAGCATTTTTGGAAAACCGTTTCAAAAACATACTTTCTGTTCCATTACATATTTACTTTACCCCATTTTCCGATACTTATGTCCAGATTTGAGTTTTGGTATATTCATACACCCCTAGTAGAATATTATGAGGAACAATTTTACAAAATATTTTCACCCTATAAAACTCCGTTTTCAAGGTGTTAACAGCAATTTTTGAAGAACATAGCAAACTCATAGTTTCAATTTAACGGAACATTTTCTTTCAAGCTTGTTCTTGCTTTTAGGTCCACGCTAGAGTTTTGAAATGTTCAGGGACCCCAAGTAAAATTTAGTGGCGAACAATTTTGTAGAATATTTCATCCCGCCAAAATAAAGTTTTCTCGATGATTTAGCCCTATTTCAAAAATAATCCCATTATTTATATTTGTCACCATTGTTTTACACATTTTCTGGGTGTAAACTTCTATTGAGAGTTTTGGTATATTCAGAGACTGGTACAGAAATTTTATGAGGAAAAAATTTGCGGAACATCTTAGCCCCCTAAATCCCCAATTTTTGGGGGTTTGAAGCCATTTTTAGAAAAAACATAGCAAAACCATACCTTCAGTTCTACTTTACATTTTGTTTCAATCTTATTCTTGAATTTAGGTCCCCATTTTTTATAATTGTCGTTTTGTTTTGCCCATTTTCAGGATGTTAGCTTCTATTAAGGGTTTTGGTATATTCAGAGACTGATACTGAAATTTTATGAGGAACAAATTTGCGGAACATCTTAGTCCCCTAAATCCCAATTTTTTGGGTTTTGAAGCCCGTTTTGAAAAACGTAACAAAAATGTACCTTCATTTCTACTTAACATTTTGTTTCAAGTTCGTTCTTGCATTTAGGTCCACGTTAGGGTTTTGAAATGTTCAGTGACCCATAGTAGAATTTTGTGGCGAACAATTTTGTAGAATATTTCATACCGCAATGATGAAGTTTTCCCAATGTTTTAAACCTTTTGAAAAAAATCACCCCATAATTCGGGTTTCTTTATTGGTGTTAGCATCTATTGAGAGTTTTGGTATATTCAGAGACTGGTACTGAAATTTTATGAGAAACAAATTTGCGGAACATCTTAGCCCCCTAAATCCCCATTTTTAAGGGGTTTGAAGCCATTTTTAGAAAAAAACATTGCAAAACCATACCTTCAGTTCTACTTTACATTTCGTTTCAAGCTTATTCTTGCATTTAGGTCCACGTTAGGTTTTTGAAATGTTCAGTGACTCATGGCAGAATTTTGTGGCGAACAATTTTGTAGAAAATTTCATTCCACTATATGCTCATTTTCATGGTGATTTTGATCATTTTTCAAAAATCAATTTTTCTTCAGGCATTTTTTGAACAAATTGCTGCATGACAATGAGTGACCCAAAACTCCCTTTTACTGAAGAGCTAGAGGTTTAATTTGTTCTACAAAATTCTTTCTCATGATGTTATTAGTAATATTGCCGAACATATTGCGTAACTAATATCTATGAATACCGTGGAATTATGCGGAACGAACAAATGCTTGAATGTGAAACCCCATTTTTTCTACAACTTTTTTTTTTTTTATTTTTTATTATTGTGAAAAAAATCGTATACCTATAATCTCAACCGTAATATTTTATGTTAAAAAAATTAAGAATATAAATTTGAAAA